CCTACTCACCACATGACATCAATTTCAGGGATACGATGCGTTTGCTAGCGATTTCATCAGTTTCCATCATTTAACACCGGACGAAATCCGACTGTTTGACATACTGCTCTACAAAACAGATCGACCACCTTCCAATCGTCTCTTCAACCCTTCTTAACACCTTCAGATTTATGTAGGTGAATAATGACATCTCTGTGATATACAATGTATCAAATGCTGCTGAGAAGACGTGCCACGTCAACGTATTATTGCATCTTTCATAGGCTTGATGCTTCAAAGGCACATTCCGCGATAATCGGTTGGGCGGATACTCGTGGCCATTGTGTCCTCCTCGCTGAGACGCCTTTCCTCCTTACTGCATTAGACAGAAGGGCGCTCTAACAAGGGCGTGGAAGCAATAGTGAGACTCCGCCCATTCCTCCGCCTACTCGGCCATCGCGAAATGTGTCTAGTTTCGTGTTCAACATATCGGAATCGTTTGGGCAGAGACTCAGGTCTACTGTTTCCTGAATACACTTTCATTGCTCAACAGTCAGCACTGCTCCTCCATTGATCTCATAGATGAATTTTGAATTCTACTATTTCAGCAGTTAAGCAGAAGCTTTCCAATATTCAGCGGGTTGTAAATTTGAGATTTATCCGAATTTTTATAGGATGTTGTGGACTTTAATGTGATAACTACGTGTTTTTTTGTTTGTTGCATGAAATTGTATAGAAACGGCTATCTGAATGAAGTTATGATTGAATCTGGAACGATGAATGATTTAATTCATAAAGGACTGTTTTGTTGTGTTGAAATTTCGTCGTGTCTTCGTCCTTTGTGGAGAATCGTCTGAGCGATTGATTGAGCCAGTGAAGCTCGTTTGTGAGTGCTTCGTTGGAATCAGGGCACATCCCAGCGCTCTGTAAACTTTTTCCGTCAAACAGGCCTCACCAAATTATCCTTTCGCTACACTCCGCTTCCACAACCTACATGCACTCATATCCTGGACATGGGGAGGGTGTGACCGCGTACTTCATTTGTACGTGACAACTCTGTTGCCAACTGGATGTTGCTGTTTTCGAACAAGTGTAGTCATGTGTTTGTCCAGCACAGGACAGCATGGCGACTGTCTCGAACAGAAGTATCCCACGGAAAATGCACCCTACCCTCAGTTCAAATGACGTCCGCTGTCACACCCTTCCCGTTTCCGGGGAATGTACGGTCTTAC